TACTTGAGAAGACGTTTGAATCCGTCCAAGGTTTCAGCAAATACACGGCATTCACCCCGTTGGCCAATTTGAAGGGAAAACTTAAATAGAACGAAGTTCAAAAGTTCCTTGAGAAGATCATTAGAATCGGAAGTGGTTACAACTATAGGGGGAATCTTTTCCTTCTTGGAATTAAACCGGGAAAGTTAACTAGAATTTTTCCTGGATGATGGATCATTCTCATCATCCGTGAGCAAATCAAATTGATCGCTCCAATTAATTTCACCAGAAGGGGAATTAAGAGATTGCCCTTTTCTTTTGCGCTTAGGCGCCATGGCGCGGCAGTAAAACTTTTATCCAAATCGACTTCTAAGCAGATTACTTTAAGAATCTGAAGGATCGAAGAGGAAATTTCCAAATCGATATCCAAGAAGGATTACCTTGGGTAGGGTCCAAACACGTTGACAATTTACATGTATATTAAGCACTGAAAAGTGCTGTTTAAATTGTTTGTATCTTTAGGTAGCAGTAACACTTCCAAACACCCTATAATATAAACCTAAGAACCATCCTACAATATCAGATTTTTAATGCATCAATTTGAACGGAGTCCAAGCCAAAGTCGGATAAATGTCTTAAAGCAGGAGACTTGTGATTTAATTTGTTTCGGAATTCTAAGAGGTAATAATTTCTCGCAGCACAAGGAATATCGAGAGTATCATCCGGAAATACCAAACCTTCAAACCATACACACTTAGAAATACCTAATCTTACACGTGACGGAATCCATCTTTGACATAAAGGCTGAGACGTAAACAAACATGACATGTAATACAAAGCGCTCCGAGACTGAAAAGTTCGAAACTACGTTTGATTGAGCTGAATTTCGCGTCTATTATGACTCAATTTTATGTCAAAATTGGCGCTCGTATATGTCAGTCTAAGTGTGTAGTTTGCAACCTTTCATGTAGACCGAAAACCGGCAGCTACGAAACTAACCTCGTTGGTACATTGCTCAGACACCCACCATCGGATCAACGTCCGAAATCCACGCAAAGTTCAACCTGTTGCTCGAACTGATTTTCCGATGGGAACCCATGCAGCAGTTTCCCTATTTCCTCCGAATCAACCCAGCCACATCAGGCAGAAACCACATGTGAAACGCAATCTATCGAAAGCAAGAAAGTCGATCCCAAAATGCACGTCGATTAATTACGTTCGCGTTTCCATCACATCGTCGTCGATATGGGAAAGGTACCTACCTACCTATGCCAACCAAAATGTGCAGCAAATAAACCTCCGCGTGTTTTCAAGATTGCATATTAATCATTTAGCTAGAACTGATACTCCGAAAGCGAGACAAAAAAGCAAAACATCGCCGAGGGTCCACCCCCTCTTTTACGAACGAGAGCTGACGGCCTGCACCGTGCTGCTGGTAAGCAGAGCAGAGCAACACCCATCTTCTGAACAACGACGACGACGACGACGTTTCGAAGAAATCGAAAGGAAATATAAAATATTCGTCACGAAAGTGCATCTGCAAACTGTGGCTGTTGCTGCTGCTGCCGCTGCTGCAACATGCATTGCATACACTTCTCATCGTACCAGCGATCGGTTTCCCCATCTGGTTGGTTCGTCGTTTGCCGGGCTTGTATCAACAAACACTCCACGCTTCCAGGAAAGTTTTACAAGATGCTGATTAAAAGCACATAAAACATGCAATCATGCATAAGTAATGCGATAAATGATTCCCCAAAGTTCAAGCGGAGGGCTCTGCAGCGGTTCAGCTCGTTTCGGTTCGTTTCGTTTCGCGCTCGCGCGGATGTTCTTCATTTTGTTTTCTCAATTAAACCCGGGCTTAGAGGGTGCAGGGGTGGGTACCTTACTGTGCATTTGGCACATCTATAGCCGTCGTCGACGTCGTTGTCGTCGTAGACGAACACGACAGACGATCGGTGGAGAGTGTTGATGTATGTATAAGAGAGTCGAAAGGTAGATGCAGATTTGAATCCCGGGAAATTAAAGAGATTCGCTGCCATTCGGTATTGATTGCAGGAGTTTCCTGAGTTTCTGGAATTGATTTAAGGGTTCGTGTGTGCAGGACACGTTATGGGAAGTGATCTTGTTGGAGATTGGATTTTTTATTTCCAGTGAACTACACGCTAATTATGCATTTTCGATGTGAGTTCTTTGTATGAGGGTCTGTTAAACTTTAAGGTTATAATTAAATAACTATTTAACTTAGCTCAAATAATTTGCAATATGTTTGAACTAGGAACAATAAACCACTTAAATCAAGCAGTTAAATGACGTTTACTACCACTCGAACTTGGAAATAAAACAATATTTTGAGGTTTTTTCTTCTAGAACTTGGAAAAGCTACAAGGGATAGCCCTATGAGGTTGTACAAAATGGTGACGTAGGACAACGTGGTCATACATAATAAATGTTATTTGTTAACTGCAGCAGGAGCAGCAATGCTACATCTACATGTTTCGTCAATAAACGATTCTCTGATAACTGTGTTGGGGAAGCACCCTATGCTTGTACATTGGTAGATTTGTTAGTTATTTCGACGCGAAAATATGCGAAAAGCTTTCAAAAATATATGACAATCGATAACAATTTAACTTCATAAATTAATAAGTCTTTTTGTGAATCTTTCAATGGATAGGCCCTTTTTGTTAAGCCGTTGTGCTTGTCATCAGAAATGGTACGCCCTTTGCTAAGCATTTTCGCAACATCAAATAAATTCAAAACAAATCATCATGAAATGAAATAAATGAATGGTTGGCCGTTTTAGCGTGCGGGCGTATTAATAAATCGAAAAATTTCGTTGATCGGCCGTTTTGAAAATCGAGTTATTTTTAATGATTTTTCTCGATTTTGCGGAGCTTTCCTACACGATTAGTAGCTATCAAGCGGTGCTAAAGAATGCTATCGAAACCCGATTTGTTTACGTTTTAAACATAGGCCCATTTCAAATGTTACTCGAGAAATGTTATTACATTAATGACAGGAAAGATTTTTCTTTAAAATGACAATAAGTTATGTATCAACAGATTTCAGTAGCGCTGCTCAAACGCAGCTCCGGAAGCTCCCCAAACGATCCAGCAAGAGAAGAGGTCTTCCCGAACTATCGCCAGCAGCACAACAAATGCCGACAGGAGATCCGGACGGCGAAACAAAATTGCTGGTCGGACTTTCTGGAGAGTATCAACACCGAACAATCGTCAGCGGAGCTATGGAGTCGCATCAACGCCCTTAGCGGCAATCGGCGATCATCTCCGCTTCAGATTCGAACAGACACCGTCACCATCACTGATCCAACCGTCGTAGCAGACGAACTGGGCAAATACTTCGCAAAACCATCCGGCATCTCGGAGTACAGCGAAAGCTTCCGACAGCGAGTCCACCCCTCTCTCTCCTCTGTGTCTACCTTCGGAATTCCTCCATACAACGACGACCTACCGATCAACAGCCCACTCTCCTGGGAAGAACTCGTGTTCGCTCCCAGTCGGAGCAACGGGAACTTGGCTGGACCGGACGAAATCGGCTACCCGCTGCTAAAGCACCTTCCACCTGAAGGCAAAACGAAACTTCTCGACCTCTACAACCAACGCTGGACCGCTGAAGAATACCCGGAAAACTGGAGAGAAAGCCTCGTATACCGGTATATACCGAAAACCAATGTCGGGACCAAAGACATTACTGGGTTCCGTTCCATTGCACTGACCCGCTGCATGGCGAAAGTCCTGGAACGGATGGTCAACAGGAGGCTGAAGCAATATCTTGAGGCCAAGGGGCTGCTTGACCATCGGCAGCACGCCTTCAGGCAAGGGTATGGCACCTCAACCTACTTCGCCACTCTTGGGGAAGTCCTGAAGGAGGCAAAGGACCAAGGTCATCACGCGGAGATCGTCTCGCTGAACATCTCCAAAGCGTTCAACCGAACATGGACACCAGCTGTATTGAAGAAGCTTGCTGATTGGGGCCTGAAAGGACACATCCTTCACTTCGTCCGGAACTTTCTGACCGACCGATCTTTTCGGGTTTCGGTAGGAAACGTGCAATCCGGAAATTTCAGTGAGGAAACCGAAGTGCCACAGGGTTCGGTGATCGCGGTCACCCTCATCCTGGTGGCCATGAATGGGGTCTTTGACCAACTACCCAAGAACGTTTACATCTTCGTCTACGCGGATGACGTCCTCATTGTAACGGTGGGTCCCACCCTGCAGAGAACGAAACTGAGAGCGCAAGCGGCAGTCTCCTCGGTGGTCAGATGGGCTGACTCTGTTGGTTTCCAGCTTTCCGCCGGCAAGAGCGTGCGCTGCCATATATATACCACCAGGCATCGCAACAACGGACAGCCCATCATGATTAAAAACAAGCAATACCGACTAAAAACACCTTGAGGGTCTTGGGAGTGCTCCTCGATCGGAATTTATCCTTTGAGCCGCACTTCCAACAAGTAAAGAAAGACTGTAGCAGTCGGTCCAACCTGATTAAGACCATCCCCTACCCCTACCCCCCACCCCTACCGATCCAACAATCGCGAAATCCGCTTCCGCGTAGCTAGAGCCATCATCGACAGTCGCCTACTGTACGGTGTAGAGATTACATGCCTTGCCGCTGAGAAAGCCGTCCACATTCTGGAACCGGTGTACAACGGCTACGTTCGAACAGTATTTGGTCTCCTGCTCTCTACCCCGCCCGACGCTGCATGCGTTGAAGCCAGTATCCTACGTTTTCGGCTCGTTTTCACCGCAGCTACTGCTACCAAAGCCGCTGACCACTGATCACTAACTTTAAGAACGGTTATAATCGCGTGTGCAACCGCGTGTGGATCTTGTTGTTTTAATCTTCTTCCTACATACGCTATGTACTCACGATCGTTGACGGACAGCTCCGCTGTCACCTTGCATCAGTGCCGCCGGCACGGTGGGGGCAGGGCTGTGCATTTAAAAAGGGCGCGTGCTGTCCGCTGGAACATCCAACACTCCCCCCAGGTACGCCAGCGTTCAGGCTGGCTTAGCTCCATCGCGCCCAACGTCTAGAACTGCCAATTTCGTGGCTGCTCGAACGTAGACGCCGGTGGCGGTCCTTACGGTGGCAGAGCGGACTTCGCCGTCCTTCCCTGGAAGAGTTTCGATGACTTTTCCCTTGGGCCAGCAGTTCTGAGGTAGCTTAGGGTCGGCAACCACAACGACGTCGCCAACCGTTATTGGGTCGGTTCGGTTGAACCATTTGGATCGCTTGGTGATTTTTGGCATGTAATCGCTTAACCAACGCCGCCAGATATGATTGGCCAGTACTTGTGACGCTAAGATATTCTGCCGGAGAGCAGCGTTGCTATCGTCAATGGTGGAAAACGGTTTGATTCCATTTGAAGAGTCAAGAAGGAAATGGTTCGGTGTTAGAGCGGGGGCACTATCGTCATCAACTGGGACGTGAGCTAGTGGTCTGGAGTTGATGATGTTTTCGACCTCAACCAACAGATTCCGTAGAACTTCATCGGTTGGATTTCGTGGGGGTTTGATCTTCTGAAGGTTCCGCTTCACACTACTTATCAACCGCTCCCAACTGCCACCCATGTGTGGAGCGAGCGGTGGGTTAAATGACCACGTTGTTTCGGCAGTAACGAACTCCTTCATCACTTCGTCCACGTTCACCACTGTGGCGGCCTCTTCCAGTTGACGTAACGCCCCTATGAAGTTCGTGTCTCTATCGGAGTAGATCCTTCTAGGCGTACCTCGGCGGGCGATGAAATTGCGAATCGCCATTATGCAGGAATCACTGCTCAGTGAGTGTACCACCTCAATATGGATTGCACGAATAGTTAGGCACGTAGCGAGCATTCCCCAACGTTTTTCGATGCGCCTTCCGACGGAGACCTCAATCGGTCCAAAAAAGTCAAGGCCTGTATGCGTGAAAGGTGGTGAGAACACGGCTAGAAGATGTGGAAGATCAGCCATGATCGGCGGTTTCGGTGAAGCATGATCGTTTTTGCATCGTTGGCAGTTCTTCCTAACTTTGGCGTATGCAGCACTGATGCGCGGAATGTTGAACCTTTGCCGAACTTCGTTCATTACTGACTCATGATTTTGGTGATGGAATCGTTGATGGTAGTGTGCAATCAGTAGGTTGATAGTGGGGTGATCACGTGGAAGAATTATTGGTTTCTTTGCGTCTTCTGTTGCGTAGTGACAGGCTCCAATTCTTGTTCGCATCCGCATGATACCTCTGCTATCTAACCAAGGCATTAGCTGGAACAGACTACTCTGCTTCGGCACTGTGCTCGATGTGATGCAGTTTTTCTGTGCTTTATTTAGATATGCGGACTCTTCCGGATAGCCCTCGCGTTGAGCAGATCGTAGAAGAAAGGCTTCAGCTGATATAAGTTCTTCTGTAGTTGGTGGTCCAGTGACAGTTGTTTCGTTGCAGAGTTTTTTGCGGCAGTTGACAGGAAAGCGGAGGACGAGGACAGCAACGTAAAGTAGACGCTTCCAGCTAGAGAAGTTTTTGGTATCTATTGTAGGTTCATATAAGGTGTGACATGCCATCAGGTTAGGACGAAGTTCTTCTTCTGTTGCTCTGCTCTTCGTTAGCTGTGGAGGCCAATCCGCTTCCAGCCGCTGTAGGAAATCTGGGCCTACAAACCATCTGCTTTCGGGTGTAAGATCGGGTTTGGAGCTCCATTTGGTACCGTCATCTGCAACGTTCATCTTAGATGGCACCCAGTGCCACTCGTTTGCCTCGGTAAGATCCAAGATCTCACTTACACGGAACGCTACGTATTCTGTGTACCATCGATGGTCTGAGTTTATCCAACACAGTACGTGCCGAGAGTCTGTCCAGTAGTACTTCCTGGCTGGGTCAATGGACAGGGCATCCGTTATTGTCCTCGATAGCCTAGCGCCAACGATTGCAGCCTGTAATTCTAAACGTGGAATCGATACAAATTTTAGAGGTGCTACCCTGGTCTTCGCGGCGACTATTGAGCATTCGACGGAGCTGTTTTTGATGAATCGCAAAAATGTGACAGCAGCGATACCGTTTTCGCTAGCATCAACAAATACGTGGAGCTCTACTTCCTCAGCTGAGTCGTAGGATAGCGATCGGTAGCAACGGGAAACTCTAACTTGTTCGACCTGAGGCAATACCTTCAACCACTGTTGCCACTTCGTAAACGCATCGTCAGTTATTTCTTCATCCCACTGCACCCCTGAGTGCCATACTTCTTGTAAGAGGACCTTCAGGAACATAAGGAAATGACTGATCAGCCCGAGAGGGTCGAACATCGACATTAGCACCCGTAGAACAACTCGTTTAGTTGGGCGAATTTGACCCATCAGAAGGGCGCGATCGTAGCGGTTCCACCCGACCTTGTAGGTGAAGGTGTCAGATGCGGTGCACCACCACATGCCCAGAACCTTCTCCGTGCTGATTTCTGGCGTAAGGTCCGAATCTTTTTCGTCCGTTCTTTCTTCCCTGAGGGCTCTTAAGACTGCCGGCGAATTACTAATCCAATTACGGATCTCAAAACCGCCTTGTTGGTGTACGTGCTTCACTTCCCTTGCGATTCGTATTGCCTCCTCCTCGGTTTCCAGGCTAACGAGCATATCATCCACGTAGTGCCGTTTCTGGATAATTTCGGCTGCTTTTGGGTACTCACCTGCATGCCGCTCCGCATTTATGTTTTTGACATATTGCGCGCAGCTGGGTGAGCAGCAGGCCCCGAAAGTCATGACCTGCATCACGTAAACAACGATTTCTCCCTTTTCGTTCCACCATAGAAACCGCTGGCACTGTTGATCCTCGACTCGGATTCCCACTTGGTGAAACATTTCACGTAAGTCCCCGGTAAGACCCACTGGATTCTCTCGAAACTGCAACAGGATGAACAGTAGTGAGCAGAGTTGATCAGGGCCCTTAAGCAGGGCGGAATTCAGCGAAATACCAAAGGAGCATGCTGCACAGTCCCAGACAAGTCTCACCTTTCTTGGCTTATTCGGGTTCATCACCGGAAATACCGGAAGATACCACACTCTGGGGTACCGCATACTGAGTTCACTCTCTGAGAGCTGCCTGACATAACCTTTCAAAACGTAATCCTCCATCATTCGATTCAGTTTTTCGGCCAGTTCTGGGTCTTTTGTGAGCCGGTGTTGCAAGGATTGATGCCTTCGAAGGGCCATAGCGTAGTTGTCTGGGAGGCGAACATTGTTGTGACGCCATAGAAGCCCTGTTGTATACCGCTTACCATCGTAAGACGTTAGCTGCCTCAGAAGATCCTGAGCTCGTTGGTCTTCGGTCGAAAGAAGAAGCTTCTCCGGTTTTGTAATGCCGAGATTCTCTAGGGAGAAATGATTCTTCACAGCCTGATGCAGCTCATCGTCTTTCGTTCGCTCACATGAGCAAACGTGGAAGGTGTAGTGAACGAGATTCCCTATGTTGTTGCTTTCTACATTTTTTCCACCGCAAACCGTCCAACCCAATCGTGTTTTGACCGCAACTGGATCCCCGACGTTTCCTTCTCTACTTTTCAACACCAAGCTGACTTGAACGTGTTTCATACCAATGAGGATTCTTGGCCGTGCATCGTAGTAAGAGTCGATGGGAAGGCCTTGGAGATAGGAATATCGTTGTCTCAAGTCATCTGCATTTAGCGTCTGATGTGGTAGTAGCAGTTATTCCACGGTTCTTACTCCGGTTAGCTGGTAGCTCTGAGCCATTCTGCCTGTTCCGGAGATGTTGAAAGTGACTGATTGTGAGTCTTTTTCACGGTGCTTCACGGACAGGCGGAACCAGCGGAGGCATAGCGGTATTGTGGTACCCTTTAGATTCAGTTGGTCCGCCAATTCCTGGTCTATCAGGCTTAGGTGGGACCCCTCATCAAGGAACGCGTAGGTGTTAATGGAGCCTTGAGGGCCACGCAGTACCACGGGAAGATATCGGAATAACACTGCACTTGATTTTGTCTGGTGAGTGTTGCAGTCGTGCGTTGGAGCGATCACTACAGATGATGTTGCTCTTTCATCGTGAGCTGTGTATGTAGATGGCGCAGGAGCGATTTGATTGGAAGCTTTCTTGTCATTGTGGAGCAGCTCGTGGTGTTTATATGTGCATCCGTTTCGTCCACACCGTGCCGGTTTAAACACTTTCGGCATAGTCCAAACTCCCTCACGATGGCCCATCTAGACTCTCTGGATAGTTCGAGAAACTGCTTGCATTTAGACGCAACTTTACATCCACCCTTGCAGACTAAACAGGATTCTGTAACGGGAGCCAACCTTTTCAAGGCTGGCGTACTGCTGTTAAGTTTCGAAGTCGCATTGGGTTTGAGATTCGATTGGCTGGTAGCTTCGGGAACTGTTTCGGAGTGAGCGTTCAAAAATACGTTTGACTTCTTGTTTCCTCGCCCTTCGTTACGTAAATACTTCGAATCGTTCGAATCGACTGGGATCACGACGGTACTGGCTGCCTCCGCCAGTGAATATACCCAGTTTCTGAAGGTTACCAGGTTGGCTCGCGGCAGGGTTTGTCGATGACGTGCCCAGTCTAGTTTGAGCGACGACGACAGCTTGTTCACCAGTTGGTGGAGGAGAGAGACGTTGTACATGTAATCTTCGAGCTCGTATGCATCCACGGTAGCGCAGAAATTCTACACGTTTACTGCGAATTCTACCAACGTCTCTAGTCGGTCTTCTCGTACCGCCGGAAGTGCATTCACCTTCAGGATCAATGAGTGAACGACGGCTTCAGGTTGTCCAAATCGCATCTTAAGAGTTCGGATGATCGCCGGAACGTTCGACGGATGCATCAGTAGACTTCATGCCGTATCGTATGCCTTTCCCTCTAAGGATCTTTGGAGCCGGATAAGCTTTTCTTCGTTTGTGAAGCCGCACATACTTGTAGTACTGGCGAACATGGACATAAATACCGGCCACTCCTCGAACTTGCCGGAGAACTTAGGCAATTCTTTGGATATGCCTTGGCGAGCTGCTAGCTGCTGTCTGGAAAACGACAACGGTTCAAAGTCCTCTTCTTGGCGTCCTGACTGAAGATTTGCGTCTCTTGTCCTTCGTTGACTGTGTTGCTTGCCGGATTCAACAAGCCCAGTCCCTCTTGCAAGAGGACGGAACGAAAACGGTTCGAGGTCTTTATCTGGGCGTCCTGACTGGCAATCAGTCCTTCTGTCGGTTCGTTGTAGTTGACTACGTTGCACATGAGAATCTGCTAGATCATTACCTCTCGTTAAAGATCGAACAGGATGATCACAGTGCTCTCTGAGCTTCTCATTCCGCAACTTGTTTGAGCGTGACTGGATTGCAGGTATATATGAACAGCTTGATTTTGTCCCGAGAAGTTCTTTGTAGAATGTCTCTGTGGATCAAAGATTTCATCGTCCGAGCGAATATGGCTTGCTTCTTGAACCCATTGTTCGACTCGATCCTGTGATTCACTGCACTCGGATTCGGCCTCACTTTGCAACTGCTCCAATTAGCCGTACTTCTTGTCAAGGTAGGCACGATGCTTTTCTGCCTGTTGTTGCTCAAATGCTCGTTCTTCCTCTAGTCGCTGAAGCTGTAGTGCCAGAACACATCTTCGTGATGGCGTCGATTTCAACGAGAATGCCTTTTTACTATAGTTTATGACTCCATGATCATCAGCCGGTCGTTCTCCTATCGGCTCCGACAACGTATTGCAAGGCTTACTAATTCCGAGAGAGTTGAACTGTTTCTTCAGATATTCTACGCGATTTCCTGAAGTGGATTGTGGGGGATTTACAAGCAACACATTTGGGGCAACACCAGCTGACATTCTCCACTTCTTGGGTGACCCCAACACACGCGAAATGGATCCATCTATCGCACCTGTCGCATTGAACCATGTCGTTGTCATCTAGCTTCTGACAGAACGTACAGCTTTGATCCGGAACTTGCTTGTCTCCTTCCGTGACCACCACCACTAAACTATTCTCACCACTCAAATCGATCACTTTCGATTGCTTCGACCGCGCACCTTTAGAACCTTTGGAACCGCTTTGACCATTTTTTCCGTTTTTCCGACCCGACATCGTTCACGTAAACGATTTTAAAAACTTGTCGAAATTAGTTCCGACTGACTGCAGGGGAGATTCTTCCGGTTTAATAACCTCCAGAGCAATATGTGTTACACGGCTCTTCATTGAGAGATTGTTAAAATCCTGTTTGGTTGGATGTATATATCCCAAGTAACAATCTAAATGCTTGGAAGATTTATTCTTATTTTATCATTGTTTTATCATAGCATCCCTTCCAGCCTGTGGTTGTATTACGGTTTTGTGTGCTTGTCATAAAATCAGGCCGTCAAGTCGTCTATAAATCTGTTTTATGACTACTAAATTAAAAGTCAGACTTCATAGTTTTAACGGTAGCTGTAAGGTGGTTCTGCATCACTACTTATAACTGAAGAATAAAACCAAAACAAAACATACAATTATGTTTTATGGTACACTTTTTATGACCGATATAAAACTTGAAGCAGTCTTAGACCTTCATTAAAGCTTCATTACAACTATCATCTTTATCAGAGGCCTAAGATTCACAGATAAGAAATATACTGCTACAACAAAAAATACTCTGAAAGTTTTTGTCATTATAAAAAACAAATCTATTCAGATATATGAAATGAAAACCCCTTCAATGCTTCTGAACACGATGAAGATGAGACGATCGACAATATGAAACTCCTGGAGGAACTACAGTTATACGATCCCTACATAAGGCACAGTGCGGTGAAGGAGCTCTTAAAAATATTGAACAAGCGGCTTTCCGATACACTTCCGAAAAGATCCACGAACCCTTCTTAAAGCAAAGCCGACAGTTTCACTAAATCCGTTTGGAGATGGCCAGTATTGACATCACGGCTTTAAACCTTGTATTGAAATCGCTTTTAGTGGATCCAATAAGCATTTCTTACATCTTGATTACAAGCGAAAATAGGAGGATCGCTTGGAATGTTGACTTTTTGACAGGTGGTCATGGTTTTTGTTTTGTTTTGATTCGCTGTACCGAATAAAACCAGCAAGCTAGTTATATAGCTTAAATAAAACTTAACGCTCTCAATTTGGACTACGAAATGCTAAGATACAACCATTAGGTTTATGTTATGCTATAGAATTCCAATCTAGGAGAATATGTTATATTGAGGTATTTTTAAGGAGTAGCAAGTTATAACGAAAAAAAATGTCGCCGTATGAACAAATTTCCCATAGTATGAATAATTACGCTTTAATTGATAGGCAATAAAACACTTTCATACATCTATGTATAATTAAATAATATGTGACTGGTTATTGCTCAACAGTAGTAACAGTTTTGTACTAAATAGATAATCTTTGAATGACTCTTTAATGCATGGTGCTAATGCAGACAAATTAAAAATATCCCTTTATTTTAGTATTCATTTGGCGCACTAAATTTATGCTCCTATTTGGAATAATAATTACCATACATATTGCACGGCATGCTGTGAAGCATATACAGATTGGTTTAGAATTATAATAAAGTCGTCTTATTTTCAATGTACAATAATATCAGCTATTATTACCAACTGACAAGGATCATGATTTCACATCAAACATCGAAAGAATAAAACCACAATAAAATATTTCTCAATATTAACTATCATCCAAAAACCCCAACTTAAAACCTTCAAAGCTGTCAAAATGTTTTGCGTATCATGTTTTATCAACTTCTTCAGGAGCGATTTATGCGGTTGTAATATAGTTTTATGGTAGTCATTAGAAGGCTGTTAAAACTTTCTGACCTGGAGGAGGTTTTATGTTTTCATTTTTAACAAT